TATTTTTGAGACATAGCCTCAAACTCACAGAGATTGGCCTGCTGCTATCTCCTGTGTGCTGGGATTAAAGATGTGCGCCACCACACACTGCTCCATAGGACTTTAAAAATAGAACTTAAGAAATTCCAAGTTAATTTAAGAAAGCAAAAGTACTCAGGAAAAGACAGTTTGTGGTTCATCATGGAGCTTGCAACCAGCCACACATACAGTGAGGATTACATGTGTAACCAGTTACATGCGGCATGGGAATGCGCTAGCAGGTGAGTGCAGGAAAAGAGACTCCAGAAACAGATGTACACACAAGCACTCATGCACTCTCACTGAGCACAGCATATAGTTAGGATTCAGATTAGTGGAAAAGGGTTAGTTTGTTTATTATAAGATGATCCAGAAAGCCTAGGCATGTAGTGCACACCTATAATCCCAGCACTCAGGAGGTTAACACAGGAGGATCCAGAGTTTAAGGTCAGCCTGGGCCACATGTGGAGACACTGTCTCAAAATGACACCCCCCCCAAAAAAAAAACCCAAGCAAACAAACTAAAACAAAGCAAAATAAAACAAAAATCCTGTCCTGGTTTGTTTCTCCATTGCTGTGACAAAACACTCTAACCACTACCAACTTGGGGAGGAAAGAGTTTATTTGTCTTACATCTCCCAGGTCACAGTTCACCATGGAGCCCAAGGTAGGAACTCAGGGCAGGAACTTGGAGACAGGAGCTGGAGCACAGGCCATGGAGGAACACTGCTTACTGGTTTGCTCCCCTGGTCCCTGGTCCCTGTGCTTTCTTATACAACATAGGCACCACTCACAGTGGGTTGGGCCCTCCCATATCACTCAGTAATCAAGAAGATGCCCAACAGACATGGTCAAGTCCACTCCAATGGAGGCAGTTCACCAATTGAGTCTCCCTCTACCCAGGGGTGTCAAGTTTGAAACTAAAGCTATCCAGCACAGATGGTAAAGAAAAGAGCTTCTTGCTGAAACAAGGAAATGAATAATTAAAGCAAAATCTTTAAATTATGAAATTTGTAGGTAAATGGATGGACCTGGAAACAATCACCCTGAGTGATGTAATACAGGCCCAGAAATGCAAATATTGCAAATTCTTTCTCATAGCTGAATGCAAGCTTTGAATTCTTAGACATAGATGATTCATTTGGAAAATCCAGAGAGGTCCAGAAATTAACAGTCATGGGACAGGGGAGGGAGGTTTCCTGTGATGGAAGACAGAACACAGTAATGTAAATGGGGAAAATGGAGGAATATAGCA